ATTCCCCAGCCAGCCATGCTGGCTGGGGTATTCTGGGAGTTGAAGTCCACCCATCCTCCAATGGCCCAAGTTGAGAAACAGTGCTTTATTTTATTTATTTATATTTCAAATTTGTCACTGCCCACCTCGCTCAAGAGCGACTTTGGGCGGTTTGCAGTAAAACAACAAATATTAATTAGGATACAATACAGACAGCATTCCTACATAAATAAATAGATACCTTCCAATATTCAGAGCGCCATTCCAAGCCTGGGGTTGCCCACTCCCCGGCTTTAATCGCCTTTCACTTCCTGCCCCTCCAGCTAATTTTCAGCTAATGCACCGCCGTTTCTGTCTTGATCTGGCTCCTGAGGTCTCCCTGCACAGCTCTGGAGGAAGAGCAGCGAATCAGTGAATTTGATTTTGCAACCCAAATTCACGCAGCTTGGCTCGGATGCTTTGTGGACGCTCTCCACGGCTACTCAGGGGCCTCGCAGCTTACCCCCTATCGAGTGCATGGGGGGAGGAAGGCGACTCTGGAGCTGGGACTGCAAGCAACCCCAAAGGGGGGTTTCTGCCCCGTGTCTAGTGAAGCTCTTCGCTTTTTTGGTGGGGATCCTGCAACGTTGGTTTGTCTTTTTATTTCTTTCTTTATTTTGCAAAGGTATATAGCCACCCATCTCACGCAACGTGACTCTGGGCAGCAGGCAAAGCTAAGGACAGCTGAAATAAACCATGAAACGCTCAAATGTAAAGAGAAAGAAAAGCTCAAAGCTCAAAGTTGTGGGAGAAGAAGTCCAGCCTCTTTGTGGGTTCGCCGCGTTTCCCACCATCGGCTTCTTTTTCACCCCGTTAGGGCTGCCGTTCCCTTCCCGTGGGACACCCGGGCTACATCAGCCACGACAAGGAAACGTCGATCAAATACATCAGCCACCAGCACCCCAACCACCCCCAGCTCTTCAGCATCGTGCGCCAGGCTTGTGTGCGCAGCCTCAGCTGTGAGGTAAGCCCCCCTGCGCCCTGAGGTTTCCTCTCGCTGTTTTCCTCTTCCCTTGCCCGGAACCGGGTCTGGCTCGAAGGGGATTCGGTCCCTTGCCAAACGTGGGGGGGAAATGCCCCTGGTTGCACGGCCTGCCTTCCTCTCTGGGAAGAACGGATGGATGGGGGACGTTTTGCTTTCGATAACGCTGTGGATTCCTTTGGAAAGCTAAGGGGCCGGGGATGAACGGGAGAAGAAAATCCGTATCTGAGGCTTAAAGGGGGACGAAAGAAAGCGGCTCGCGGTGCTCTCTCGGTTTTTGGGTGGGGGGCTTTTCTAGGTGGGTGGAAATGCCCACAAGTGGGTGGCTTTTCTAGGCTTATTTATTTTTTCTATTTATTTATTCATCAAATTTGTCACGACCCGTCTTGTGAAACGGCTTGGATCCTACCTTTTAACCGACAAGCTTGGGGCCCGGGTTGCATCGGTCCCCTGCCCTTTAATCTCCTGGGGGCAGAACCGTAGTAACAACAGGCTGCCAGTCGGAAAGGCTGGCGCCAGACGGAGGGAGCGCCTGCCACCGCCGGCTTTCAGGTGTGTCCGGCTCTCTTCCTCTGCCAGGTTTGCCCGGGACGGGAAGGCCCCATCTTCTTCGGAGACGAACAGCACGGTTTTGTGTTCAGCCACACCTTCTTCATCAAGGACAGCCTGGCCCGCGGCTTCCAGCGCTGGTACAGCATCATCGCCATCATGATGGACCGCATCTACCTCATCAACTCCTGGCCTTTTCTCCTGGGGAAGATCCGGGGCATCGTCGATGAGCTGCAGGGGAAGGCTCTGAA